AGAGAGAGAGAGAGAGAGAGAGACGCGCAAACTGATGCTGTGCGCCAAATAAACTGGAGAAACTTGCAAATGGGCTAAAAATGCACTCTGATCTTCTGGAAGCACGGACCACGTTTGGACACAGAGTTCTTTTTATATGAATACTGGGAAAATATAGTTCAACTTTAAATTCGGAGCGCGTAAAATGAGCGTTGCGCGGGATTAAACTGATGCTGTGCGCCAAATAAACTGGAGAAACTTGCAAATGGGCTAACAATGCACTCTGATCTTCTGGAAGCACGGACCACGTTTGGACACAGAGTTCTTTTTATATGAATACTGGGAAAATATAGTTCAACTTTAAATTCGGAGCGCGTAAAATGAGCGTTGCGCGGGATTTGAGAGTAATGCATTTGTGCGGAATCCAGATTTCAGTGAAAAAAACTGATTACCTACAGCACTAGAGACAGTCTGAAAAATCTTCCAGAGTCCTACCCATCATGGATCAGATTGGGATTTTGGATTTACATCGGCGCAATAAATGCAAAACGCGTGGACGCAGTGCTGCGATTAACGGAGTTTACATGTAAGAACAATACTTTATTTACCTTTCAAAGGGTAGAAGTTGATTAAATGTCTCGAGTTGTAATCTTTCTAGTTTTTCCAGTCATTGCTGGTGTAATACTGCATATGCAATGATTTGATATATAAATTAAAAAGGGAAACGCACGTTGAACTATGTAAATAACAGAGGCCAAAGACAAGAAAATTCTTAAAAGTGAAGATTCTTCGAGGTTCAGCAAAGAACCTTATTCTTTTCTTCGATGTTTTACGGATATATGGTTCTTTGGACAAAGTTGCTCTAATAGGTTCTTTAGATCAGTTTTTAGATTCTCATCTGTTATTAACAGAGACAATCTTGTCAGTTCTCTCCAGCACATAAGGTCCAAAAGTTCACATAGAAAATAAAGGATTTCCTTTTCAATTCAACTTGGAAAGAAGTTTAAACAAAGAAAAGCATGTATAGCCTAATGAAAAAAACGTGCACAAAATCATTAATGTAAGTAATTGAGTCTTGGTAAAGAGAGTCAGATGTTCTTCCACTGCACTGTAAAAAATAAATCTGTGATATTTACGGGAAAATACGGCAGCTGTGGTTGCCAGAACTACACCATAAAAAATATGGTAGCAACATTTGAGGTTTTACAGACTTAACTTAAATTCACAATAAAATGCTGTATTTCATTAACTGATGTAATGTTAATAAACCAACATATTGAAGTACTAATATCTGTTTTGAACCATTGTAATGCACTGATAACCACCAAAAACAGGTGGTGATGAGAAAGCCACATGATGAACCAAAGCTCATCACAAACAGGAGGGCAATACTTATATCTAGAAGTTGCACAGTGTCATTCACACAAACACTAAACCCCATCACGGTAACACATGATACTGATATAATGCAATAAACATTAATTTAACAACATTAGATGTAAGTTTAAACCCTAATGTACACAGCTAATAAGAAAAAGCTAAGAAACATGTTATTTCAACAAAAAAACATCAAATATGAAGTGTCATGCAGGGTATTCTGGGAGTGTCAATTTACGGTTTGTCACTGTAAATTATACAATTACTTTTTCTTTTTCACTGCCAAAAACCGTATTTTTAACAGTATTTTACTGTAAAATTACATTAAATGTAATTACATTTATTCACTGAATATAGTATGGAAATGACTGTTAACTGGTTTTTACTGTAAAAATCACAATCATTTTTTACAGTGTGGAGCTCAAGATGCTCTAACATGATCATCAGATTTTGTTCCGCCCCAGTGCTGCTGCTATTAATTCAAAATAGATACAATCCAAATTCAGAGACATTCTCAAATTCATCTTAATTTGCACAATTGCAATGCTGATAAAATCGAAGCATTTTCACTTGGTTTCAGGAACATTTTAAGAGTGAATTCAACCTAGAAACAAATGTCAGTTGTTTGTTGACCTTGCGGTGACTTTTTCACCTTTTGCAACACAACTGGTAGAGCCTGATTCTACACTATTAAAGGTTCTTCAATGGCATCTATGGTTCTATAAAGAACCTTTAACATCCAAGGAACCTTTCCATTCCACGAAAGATAAAAAATAAATGATCTAAGAATGTCTAAGAAGTTATGAAAACGTTCTTTTTGAATGTTTAAAATGTCCAGTTTATGGTTTAAAAACATTTTTTCTTGGTTATACGGAGGTTAGGGGAACATTCCATTTCATCATTTTGCAAACATTATGTGATTATTACCCTTGAACGTTCAGTGACATAAAAAAAGACCAGATAACTGTTCTATTAACATTACTGGAAGAACGTTTGTTCATACCATTGAGAGACCCTTGCCAGAATGTTATGAGAAAATTCCCTGTTAGCTGGGTTTATAGTGGAAAAAGTTCTTTAGAGTTTTAAAATGTTCTTCACATAAGAAAGCAATGGTTATTTTAAGTAAGGTTCTTTGGGGAACCAACATATTTCTTCTACTTTTTGACACTGCTGCAAAAACCCTGTGATGCTAAGGTTTCGGGTTTAATCCCCGTACCTTGAATGCACTTTGAACAAAACCATCTGCTGAATGCACTAATGTTAAGGAGGATAATTTTCTCTGTGTTGAGTGTTTGAAACCAACTAGTTCGCTGTCCTCACTTGTCCTCACTTGGAGTTTAGCAGTCAATTCAGATGGCCTGCAGGGAGTACATGGATATAATGCATTATGGGATAGCACTCTACATGACACCTCCCATTTAACGATCCTTAATGGATCTGTTGGTTTTATCATGCCAGTCAGAACAGCGAGAAAGCAATTGCGTTGCTGTGATTTTAATGATACATTTTTAATGATACGATACATTTTTTTGCCTTATACAGTTTAATGAGGAATTGAAATGTATATAAAATTGCTTGAATGTAAGGAAACATTTTGCACAAAATGTTCTCACTTTTTAATACAAGCTGAATACAAGAGCTGATGCTGATAATCTCAAAATGGCCAAATATTGATTTATCAGTATGACTGATCACTAATTTCATTCATTCATGAAAAGTCATCTTATTTTATAGTGCTTTGTACAATACAGATTGTTTTAAAGCAGCCTCACAGTAACAAACAGGAAAATAACAGAATCAATAATAGAAAATAGATGGATGGATGTGTTTGTAATGATCACAAAGGCCTGCCTTAATTCTCAGAAACGTCTCAGTAAAAGTGACTAAATAGGTAATACAAGCTCTGTTTGCTGAGGCGAAATATTTGTGCTTCAACATGCTTTCCACATTGTCTGAAAGAATACGCAATTCCTGCATGAACTTGATTAAAAACTGTCAGGTGCCTTTTGTCTGTTGGATGAAATATTGTAATTGGCTTTGTACAAATATTCAATAACACAAGAGATATAGATGTTGTATTTAATATGACCATATGGTCAACTATTTTGATCGTTTTCTCAATCAACAATGTGAATCATGAAATAAAAATAAGATTAAAATATATCATACATCTAAACAAAATAGGTCTACTAAATTGAATTTTGGAGAGGACTGGTTAAATCAGTCGTGCGGCATGATCAGAGTCTCTAAATCCAAAAGGTTGTTAAAAATGACCTGCTGAAAAGGTTAATACAATCAAAAGTAGCGATACAAATAGATGAAGAACCCAGAGAAAACAAGTGTGCGGCACGAAAAAGTACTGCTTTGAAAATTAACAAAATCCTGACTTACTTTGATTACATTATGTTTGAGAGAATGTGAGTCATTTAGATTGAAATCAGCAGACAAACGGCTCTACGACACACTCACATTACACTGATTTTGCATTATTAGCTGAAAGACGGGTTGAAATTATGAATACATGTATTTACAAACATTTATCTGAACACTAATCAGCTTGATCAAAGGTCAGGAAATTATATGCCGCATTTGTAATTTAATGTTCTAAATAGTCTTTGTTATGGCTGTAAAGCTTCAGAAATATGGGCACGGGCCTGTTATTTTAAATGAGAACAGAGACAAGTACGGCAGATCCTCTAATAGCACTATGTTGTTTGGGTTTGGTTTCCTACAATATAGGCTGTTGGAACTTAAAAAAGAAGTTTGTACAGTATTTCAAAGACATTCTGTTCTTTTGAACTTTCTATTCATGAAAAAATGGAATCATGGTTTCTCACAGAAATTTGAAGCAGCACAACTGTTCTCAACATTGATAATAAGAAATGTTTATTGCAACTTACAATACACTTTACTGTAGGTTTAATGCCCCTGGAGTAACCTGAGGTTAAACGTGTGTTGCTCAAAAACACAATGATAATAGCTCATGGATCAACACTTGCTGGGTTCGATGCCATAATCTTCCAGTTTTCATGACCCTATTTATTTTCTCAATTCACGTTACTGGGCTTATTACTAATGTTTCATCCATGCATTTATTGATTATATTTTTTCACTTTGTAATCTATAATCTAAATGACTTTGCATTCACATCTGCCTCTATTTTCATATGCAATGCTCACTTTTCACAATCCAATCAACAACCAATGGATAAAATCCAGGCTTACATTTTTTTCTTGCTCGATAAGCTGTTTCACTCTGAAATACATCACAATACAGTAGTGAAGTCAGACAACTTCCATTTCATGCCGACTTAAAAGTCACTAGGCTACATAAGGTCATGTACACAAAACAGTGAATGACAATAAATTTGTCTCTTTGCAACATTTAAAAAGCAAAATTCAAAAACAAATGCAACATTCCTGTAGCTCAAACAGTAAAGCAGGGTGCTTGCAACGGCAAGGTCATGGGTTTGATTTCAAGTGAATGTTGCATGTGGTATAAGATATTTGTTCAGAATGCATGAGGGTAGACAAAATTGTCTAAAGCTTATCAATTTGTTGTCTACCCTCATTGTTATCACCCAAACCTGAAACAAATTGCTGAAAATGCACTCAGGCTATCCGAGATGTAGAGTTTGTTTGTGATGAGTTTGTTTCTTTATAACAACAAGTGATGAGTTTCTTGAGAAATGTAGCATTCCATCACTTGCTCAACAATAGATCCTCTGCAGTGAATGGGTGCCGTCAGAATGAGAGTCCAAACTTGCTGCAAAAACCCTGTGATGCTAAGGTTTCGGGTTTAATCCCCGTACCTTGAATGCACTTTGAACAAAACCATCTGCTGAATGCACTAATGTTAAGGAGGATAATTTTCTCTGTGTTGAGTGTTTGAAACCAACTAGTTCGCTGTCCTCACTTGTCCTCACTTGGAGTTTAGCAGTCAATTCAGATGGCCTGCAGGGAGTACATGGATATAATGCATTATGGGATAGCACTCTACATGACACCTCCCATTTAACGATCCTTAATGGATCTGTTGGTTTTATCATGCCAGTCAGAACAGCGAGAAAGCAATTGCGTTGCTGTGATTTTAATGATACATTTTTAATGATACGATACATTTTTTTGCCTTATACAGTTTAATGAGGAATTGAAATGTATATAAAATTGCTTGAATGTAAGGAAACATTTTGCACAAAATGTTCTCACTTTTTAATACAAGCTGAATACAAGAGCTGATGCTGATAATCTCAAAATGGCCAAATATTGATTTATCAGTATGACTGATCACTAATTTCATTCATTCATGAAAAGTCATCTTATTTTATAGTGCTTTGTACAATACAGATTGTTTTAAAGCAGCCTCACAGTAACAAACAGGAAAATAACAGAATCAATAATAGAAAATAGATGGATGGATGTGTTTGTAATGATCACAAAGGCCTGCCTTAATTCTCAGAAACGTCTCAGTAAAAGTGACTAAATAGGTAATACAAGCTCTGTTTGCTGAGGCGAAATATTTGTGCTTCAACATGCTTTCCACATTGTCTGAAGGTCATGGGTTTGATTCCAAGTGAATGTTGCATGTGGTATAAGATACTTGTTCAGAATGCATGAGGGTAGACAAAATTGTCTAAAGCTTATCAATTTGTTGTCTACCCTCATTTTTATCACCCAAACCTGAAACAAATTGCTGAAAATGCACTCAGGCTATCCGAGATGTAGAGTTTGTTTGTGATGAGTTTGTTTCTTTATAACAACAAGTGATGAGTTTCTTGAGAAATGTAGCATTCCATTCAAGTGAATGTTGCATGTGGTATAAGATATTTGTTCAGAATGCATGAGGGTAGACAAAATTGTCTAAAGCTTATCAATTTGTTGTCTACCCTCATTGTTATCACCCAAACCTGAAACAAATTGCTGAAAATGCACTCAGGCTATCCGAGATGTAGAGTTTGTTTGTGATGAGTTTGTTTCTTTATAACAACAAGTGATGAGTTTCTTGAGAAATGTAGCATTCCATCACTTGCTCAACAATAGATCCTCTGCAGTGAATGGGTGCCGTCAGAATGAGAGTCCAAACAGCTGATAAATACATGCAGCTTCACATCACGAGACATTAACTGATGGACTGGAGTGGTGTGGATTGCTTGTGGATTATTGTGATGTTGTTATCAGCTGTTTGGTCTCTCATTCTGACGGCACCCATTCACTGCGGAGCATCCATTGGTGAGCAAGTGATGCAATGCTACATTTCTCCAAATCTGTACTGATGAAGAAACAAACACACCTACATCTTGGATGGCCTGAGGGTGAGTACATTTTTGTGAACTATAATATATTGTGAACTACTATATATTGTTTTAAAACAAGAAACAGGCTACACTTCATTTCCCACATTAATGTGTGTCTAAACTGACAGCTGAATAATTCTCTACAGCTGACAATTGTTAGTCAGATCAAGCCGCCGTAAGCCACTTTGAGGCTGTGGGTTAGATAACGCTTTCTGGTGAAAAACTGAAAACATGTCTGCCAGGAGAGGAACAGGAACTTCCTTCTCCATGTGCTAATCTTCAGACACGTCACTCCAGCTGCTGAGTTCAGCTGCAATAAAAGCACAGGCTGTTAATGAGAGCGGGTCAGTCCTGTTAGTCATTCGGTTTTACTAATATACGTACTGCCTGACACCAATTTATTCAGATGTTCCATTCAGGATGAGAGATGAAGCAGGAAGTTGAGAAGGTCAAGGCTGGATAAGCCTTTATTCATTAGTGGATGATTCCTTATACAACATGTCACTGTACTGAATGAGTCCTGTTCTGGTTAAAAGGAAAGTCACGAATATGCAGTTTTCTTGAACATTATGCAATGAATATTCAAGAAATTACTAGATGGAATTGATAATCGCTTAAGATTTGAGAATCTTAATATACAGTACATACAGTTTGCACACAACCCCAAGAATTAGTTTCTGTGACTTTCATGCAATGTCATCATAATCTACATAGATGAATCACACGAAACCTGCCAAGAACATGTCAGTCATATTACTTTCTGCATAAAAATGCATGCATTTTGTGTCATTATTTTCATGACAATTAAGCACATTTTCCTCTTCAAGTTCTCATTATTACAAACACAATATATATTTAATGTATTAATACATCATTATAGTATGTATTATACTGCCAATAATTCTGGGGTTTCAATTCTTCTTCAATTCTTCTCAATAATTTGGGGTCCATAAGATTTAAAAAAAATAAATTATTACTTTTATTCAGTAATTAATAATTAATAATTAATTTTATATCAGAAATGCATTAAACTGATCGAAAAATTCAACTTAAACAACATTTTTTTAAACAAAATCAAATATAACATTTATTTGAAATTGTAAAGATATTTCACAGTATTGCTGTTTTTACTGTATCAAATAAATACAGCCTTGGTGAGCTTATGAGAGTTTCAAAAACGACCTCAAATGTTTGAACGTTGGAGTATATTGTGTATTACTGTATTACAATAATAAAAAATAAAATTAATTGCATTAAATTAGTTCATACTTAATGAAATCATAAAAGACTCAACAAAAAAAAGTAATTAAAAAAAACAATCAAAATAAAACACTTAATATTTTAACTTTTAATATTTTCACAAATATAAATATGACTATCAAGTGTCTGTATCTGTCACGAATCCGGTCCATGAACTTCCAATTTCATTGACTCTCGCACTACACACTGTTGCACATCACCCCGGACTACATTTCCCATCATGCATTGCACTGATTGCACGGATTGCACACAGCTGTTAACACTGATTGCACCCAGCTGTTTCATATCACTCCCTCACTATATAACACTCACTCTGATCCCTTCCCTCTGCCGAGTATTGTTTCAGCGATTATCACTCCCCTAGTGATAGCTACACTACAGAGCCCTCAGTCGTGCCTTAGCCTTAGCCTTAGCCTTAGCCTTAGCCTTAGCCTTAGCCTTAGCCTTAGCCTTAGCCTTAGCCTTAGCCTTAGCCTTAGCCTTAGCCTTAGCCTTAGCCTTCTCTGATCTTCGCCTGGTTTCCTGGATTCACCCCTTTTGTCTTGCTCCTTTTTGATTCTGTCTGCCGATCGTCAACCTGCGCTAGCCCTAGGACTATTCTTGTGTTTTGCCCGCCATATACCTGTCTGCCTCTGTTTGACCCTGCCTGCTTTATTTTCTGATCTTCGCCTGGTTTCCTGGATTCACCCCTTTTGTCTTGCACCTTTTTGATTCTGTCTGCCGATCGTCAACCTGCGCTAGCCCTAGGACTATTCTTGTGTTTTTGTCCACCATATACCTGTCTGCCATTATCTGACCCATGCCTGCTTTATGACCACGTCTCTGTCTTCTCCTAAATAAAAGCTTTGCGAATGGATCCGCAAGTCTCACGTCTCGTCAGCCCCGTAACAGAATCTGTGTGTCTGAAATGTTGCAGGATCTATTCTCTTTTCTTTTCTTCATTTACGTTCAAAGTTATTGAATCAGCTGTTGTTTTGGTGGTTTTTAGTGGACTTATGAAGCCAGTTCTTCTTGCTTTCACACAGGTGTCCAAGCAGAGGAACCACAGGTTTAGAAAATCACATTAACTATCAACACGATCCACTAACCGCAAACAAGCACAACATTTTTGTTTTTATGTTTTTGCATCTTTCTTTACAATAAATGTCACTTGCTTTGACATTTAGCATCTTATGCAATGAGATTCAGACATTCTTAACTATCCAAATACTTTTTGGAGTCTCTGTACATGAATAACACATTTATAAATCACTCACATCAGACAGTTGTTGTAGTAGTCTGGAGGTTTACACTATGAATTCAGATGTTACAGTTCTGATCCCTGGTAAGTACATCTAGGGAACTTAAAAGTCACTGAGGGAAAACCTCATCGTGCCCTTGAGTACTGCACCTACTGACTCCAGAGGGACTGAACCCGCAGTCACTGTGCTGTAAACAAGCTGTTTATAGCCTTAAAGTGTGACTTTCTAACTTTATTTTCCTGTCTGACTCACTCTAGCTTTGAGTAACTTCTAGTACAGGACGATCAGGATGAAAAGATGGCGACCATGCTCTTACCAGCGGGTCCTGATGGCTTGCGACCGTACACTCGAGAGTCTCTGGCGGCCATCGAGCAGAGGATCAGCGAAGAGCGGACCAAGAACACGAAGGATAACAAGGCGGACCCGGGGAACACGGAGAAACCCAAACCCCGCGCCGACCTGGAGGCCGGGAAGGTGCTGCCTCGTATCTTTGGTGACATCCCCGCAGGACTGGTCGGAGTCCCGCTGGAGGACATCGACCCTTTCTACTTCAAAAATCAGAGGGTGAGTCAGTGGCCTTCAGATGTTTTAGTGCATCCTAAAGGAGGAGTGAGTGCTGTAAATTAGGTCTAATGGATGTGAAGTTTATGTTTTTAGCTGATAGTTAGCTGGTCCTTGAATAGACAAATGTATCTATATAAGTGCATGTAATGATTTTGTCTTGTAGCTGTTGAAAAATATTTTCTATTTTTTTCTGAATCGTCTACCTTGAAAGCACCCACCTGGTTCTTCTGTCCAATAGGAAAGAAAAATATCAGTCTCTTTAATATCCCAGATGTTTCTCCCAGACCACAATGAGACAAACTGGAAAGCAAAAGACAGTTGCCTACTTGTCCTGTAAAACACAACCTAGTAATCTCATGTTTCAGAAGAGATCTCAACGTCTCAAACCGTTCTTAGATTAGCCAAGATAAAGTCTGCATCAAAAGTCAGAGATCTCAACATGAACTCATTTCTCATGAAATTTTTTCAAGCGTTTTCATATTTTTCTATTCTCAAAACAGGCTGGTTGATTGGATTGAATGGCTCATTTTTTTTTTACATTTTGTTCATTCAATAGTTTTCATCCACAACCCTTTACAGTGCAAAACATATGTTCTTACTGAGTATTTCTGTCTTGTTTTCCAGTAAAAATATCCAAAAATTCTTAAATCAAAATACATTTACTGACACAAGTCTAGTTTTCTAAGAAATGCATCCAAATTAAATGAAATTGTGCTTAAAACAAATGTCTGCCAATGGGGTAAGAAAAATAATCTTGTTTACCATTTGAATTAAGTTTATTTTTCTGACCCCACTGGCAGATATTTTACATTTTTAAAATGTTTTTCCAAAACATATACTCAGCGAAAACTGTTTTAATTTGATCAAAAATACAGTTAAATCAGTAATATTGTGAAATTATATCATAATTTTAAAATGTAATTTATTCCTGTGAATCAAAGCTGAATTTTCAGCATCGTTATTCCAGTCTTCAGTGTCACATGATCCTTCAGAAATCATTTTAATATGCTGATTTGCTGCTCAAGAAATATTTCTGATTATTATAAATGTTGAAAACAGTTGTGCTGCTTCATGTTTTTGTGGAAACTGTTACATTTTTCCAGGATTCTCCGATGAATAGAAATTTCAAAAGAACAACAATCATTTAAAAATAAATATCTTTGCTGTCGCTTTTAATCAATTTCTTAAAAAAAGAATCACACTGACCCCAAACCTTTGAACGGTATTATATGTATCAATAACAGCAGATAAGTGACATTTCATCTGTCCAGATTGACTGTTTTCTCTTCTTTTGTTTCTTTTCACAGACCTTTATAGTACTAAACAAGGGAAAAGCCATCTTCCGCTTCAGTGCCACATCTGCACTCTACATATTCAGTCCGTTTCACTGCATCAGAAGAATCGCCATAAGAATCCTAGTCCATTCATATCCTTCCACTGCCTCTTAGAAGAACATTTCTCTATGTGTTCATGTTTACTTGCTCGGATAATTACAGAGAGATTCGGTCTGTTTACAGCCGTGCTTCTGATTTGTGTTTAATAACTTGCACAGATATCAGACTTTAAGACCGCAAGCTTCTCTAGAAACACAGCTGCACTGATTTCTTTTTTAGATTGCAAGGCATTTTATAAATCTGGTTTCCAAAAGCATCATTTTAAAAGCCAGGTATATTTTGACCTGGGCCAGTATGTAACCAACATACTGATTCCAAAAAGGTACAAAAGCTGTGACTATGGCGGTACCTTTTCAAAAGGTACACCTTTTTACCCCTAAAGGGTGCAAATAAGTACCTTAAAGGTACATAATAAGTATCTAAAGTGTACATATTTGTACCTAAATGGTGTGTAATTGTTTTGAAAAGGTATCGCCAAAGTGACAGCTTTTGTACCTTTTTTTTTCTGAGAGTGCACCAAATGCAACAAACTAGCAACCATCCACAACATCGTATCATTATTGTGACTTTTGCATGGGCAAACACCACTTATATTATCAGAAAATGTAGCAAAAAGTGGTTTGGTTTTTCCCTCTGAAACTAATCATTATTATCAAAAGGCATCAAAATCCAAAAATCTGGCCCAACAGCAAAATGATATCCAGCTGCTCACACTTTGAGGTGAATCTAAAATACTTACTATCAGAATTCTATTGGATTTGATCTCATTTCTGAAACAGCTCTATAATGTTCTTCTCTGGCATCGCCAACCAAATCCGCTGAGATTCCTCCTCTAAGTCCCCAAATGAAATAAGGTCATGTGACAGCTGCACATTACGGCGCGTCACATACACAGATGTTTTGAGTGTCTGCGGTCATAATGCACGCAGGTGTCTGGTCCTGTGGCAGCCGGTTCTGTGTTGAAACAATTAAAACCGATTTAGCAGAGAGAGGGACAGAGATTTATTATAGACTGCATCACAGTGTCACTCCATGTTACTCTCTTATTGCTTTACCAGAACACAAAATGTTTATACTCCTTTAAACTCCGATGACATTTCAAAGTACATTTTTTCTTAGTTTTTTCCAAAAATTAAACTCACCCATCATATATTAATTACTGAGAAAATAATAATAAAGTTAACACTTTACTTGAAGCCTTTATACACAGTATAATGCATTATACAATTTATTATTTTAATGCATTAATTATGCCCCTTATAATGCATAAAATGCAACTTGTTTTTTTTTTTTTTTTTTACAGTGCAACTTTATAACTTTAGAAATTATAATGCATTAAAACAAAGAGTGGACAAACAACCAATTTCCAGCATAACACGCAATCTCCAGACATTATAATAATGCATTTTAACATTGGTTACAATTATTTATGTCACAAAAAGTAAAACATTTTTTTCATGTGCTTTAAAGTCTTGCCGGTTAAACTTTTCATTCACGTGCTGTTCTGACATGCGCTTTTTCTGAGCGCATACACCTGAAGCGCGCACACACTAAAAAATCCTTGTCAAACAGCGCCTGGTTCCTGGACTAAGTTATCGTTCGCGTCTGATTGCTTTAATACTTTCAGAAACACAAGGTTTACATATAAACACAGTTGGTTATGTCTAAAGTGAAAGTAAACAGTTGAGAGTAAAACGGATGTGTACCTGTATATTAGAGGCATGCAGCTCTTAAAGCAACAGTAGACTAATAGTACTAAACATGCTGCCGCTTGTCATTAAAGGGATAGCTAAAATTCAACCCAAAATTAAAATTCTGTCATTATTTACTCAACCTCATGTTGTCTCAAAGCTGTATTAATTTCTTCCTTGTGCTGAACCCAATAGAAGTTATTTTGAAGAATGTGGGTAACCAAACAGTTGCTGGTCCCCATTGACTTGGGAGGGGAAAAATAGTAGGAAAAAATGCTATGGAAGTCAATGGGGACCAGCAGATGTTTGGTTACCCACATTCTTCAAAATAACTTTTGAATGAATGAATGATGCATTTGATGCATTGAACTTTTACGTTCAACAAAAGAAAGAAACTAATTCAGGTTTTAAACAAAGTGAGTAAATGATTACAGAAGTTAAATTTTTGGGTGAAAAAAATCACTCAGTGCTCTTGACTGAAGAACTTTGATACAGTTACTTTAATAAGAATAAATGTATAATTTATACATTGAAGTGTACATAGTGTTTTATTTTTTATATTTGTTCATTCAATTTCTTGAATGCTACTGCTAAATACACCAACTGTACCTGAAAAATAAAGCACTGTTTGTTTTATTTGTATGTGTATTTGCAATATGAATCTTTGTTCTATTTTTTAATAACAAAGATAAAATAATGGCAAAGGTTTTTAATCTTCGCCCACTTTGGCCTAAATGTCTGCCATTCTTTTTTTATTTTATATTTTGTTACGTTGTAAGACTTTGTTTTTAAAATATATTTTTATATTTTAAATACTATAGGGAAATGAGTTTGGCTTTATTGCTCAGACAACTTGCAAAATAGTAAAACCAACATGACAAAGAATCGTGATAAAATTGTGATTTTCCTGAAAAAAATCGTGAAAATATATTTTTGCCATATCGCCCACCCCTACTTTGTTTTATGCACAACTTAGAAAAATATTTTTTTACAATGTATATTTTCATGCTCTAAGCAATTTACAAACAAAAACGTTTTCAAAAGCACAAATAACATGATGAGGTTGTCTTCTAAGTTACAGTTAATAGGAGCATTCGTACTAAATTTCCCAGACATTAGCAAGACTTAGAGCTTTTTCCACCACTATTGTAGAATGATCTACTTCTAGTTGAAACACTATAGTGTGCCGCAGCGTCTCCTCTGACTGGATGTTTATTATAAGCAGTTCAGACAGAGCCAGTGATATCTTGTGTTATCCCCAAATGCCACAGCCTCTGAAAATCCCCATACTGAGTCCATGTTCAGGCTCTATTAAAACCTCACATACAGAATACAGAAAACCGAGAAAAGGAACAGATGCTTGCCTATCACTGGGGTAAAATCCTACCATATGTTCAGAAAGGATAAAGAGAAATGACATCATGAATATTGATAGCAGCTTCTCCAAAAGGTTGTTTAGACATGATGTAGAACTTAGATTACCAAAGTTCTCATTTACTGTGTAGTTCGATCGTAACGGTAACTTGCTTCGGTGAGGGTCATCCGTAACTCTTGTCACAGGCACAGTCATTCTGAAATACAATAAATGGTGTCAGACATTTCCAGTGTTCCATTCATGCTTAAAAACAAAGAAATTTCAACTCTGAGGTTAATAGTGATAAGTGCTCATTTCCTTAACATGTTCACTTTGTTTAGCTTGTTCATCATGTGCACAATTTTGACAAACTGCTCCTTCATGGCTATGTCGGATCCTCCGCTGTGGACCAAATACCTTGAGTGAGCTATACCTTTATTCTGTTTTTAAATGTTTAAAAATATATTTCAAACTACCATGATTTTACTACTACCACATCACAACGGCATCATTTTGGTGATCTTTATATTTGTTCAGCTGTATATTTATTTGAATTTGTTTTGACCGCTAACCTGTTTGTACTGCAAAAATAAATGAATAAATAAAAAGAAATAAAATAAAATAAAATAAAACAAAATTAAATAATTATTTTACCATAACATCAATGCCACTGCCAATTCCAGAAAAGTTGGGACGTTTGTAAAATGCAATAAAATCAAGAATCTGTGATTTGTTAGTGATTTGTTAATGCTCTTTAACTTTTAAGTAATTGATAAAAGTACAAAGAAAAGATTTCTAAAATTTTCACTGACCAACTTAAATATAAACAAATTGTGATTTTGATGGCTGCAACACACTCCAAAAAAGTTGGGACAGAGGCAAAATAAAAGTGAAAAGGTTATAGAATATCCAAATTAATCTGTTTTGAAACAGTTCACAGTAAGCAGGTGAATTGGTAATAGGCGAGGAGATCATGTTTGGGTATAAAAAGAGCATCTCAGGATTTGCAAGCAAAGCTCATCACTTTGTGCCAAATTTTATGAGAGAAGTGTCAAACAAATCAAAAATTCAGGGAATCCAGAGAAATCTCAATGTGTGTAGGACAAGGCAGGAATCCTCAGGTGAATGTGCATGACCTTTGAGCCCTCAGATGGCATTGCATAAGAAACCGTAATGCTGCTGTGTTAAATATAGCCTCATGTGCTCAGGAGTACTTCAGAAAACCTCTGTCACTTAACACAGTCTGCTGCTGCATCAAGAAGTGCAACTTGAATCTCTGATACTCTAGGAGAAATCTATACATCAATTCTATGCAATGATGTCGCGGGGTTCTCTGGGCCCGAGCTCATCTTAGATAGTCAAAAAGACAGTGGAAATGTGTGCTGTGGTCAGTTGAGTCCATATTTTAACTTGTTTCTGGGAAAAATGGACGTCGAGTTCTCAGTCCTAAAGACCATCGGGACCATCCAGACTTTCACCAGCGACAGATGCAAAAGCAAACGTTTGTCATGGTATATGGGTGCATTAGTGCAAACAGCATGGGTGACTGGAATATGTCCGACGGTACCATTGACATGGAGGCATATATTGGAATTGTAAGGAGGCATATATTGAGAAGTCATTTTTCATGGGATGTCCATGGTTATTAGATCAAGACCAGGTCTCATTCTGCATGTGCTTCAACAGCGTAGTGTCTCATTGAAAATGTATGACCAGTCATGAAAAGGAAAATCAGACAATGACTATCACAGACTGCTGAGCATCTGAAGTCTTGTATCAAGCGAGATTGGACAAAAATATTGCTTGCAAAACTTAAACAATAATTATCCTAAATTCCCCAAAAATTAAACATTGTAACTAAAAGGAAAGTTGATGTGACACAGTGTTAAACGTGCCTCTGTCCAATCTTTTTTGGAGTGTGTTGCAGCCATCAAAATCAAATTTTGTTTATATTTACCAAATAAAATTAAGTTGGCCAGTAAAAAGATTGGAAACATTTTCTTTGTACTTTAGTCAATTAAATAAAGTTGAAAAAGAATGAACAAATAACATATTCTTGATTTTATGGCATTGTCCAAATGTTCCAACTGTTTTGGAATTGGGGCTGTATAAAAAAAATATATAATCATCATTTTGGTGATCTCTAGATGATGTCTGTACATATTCTTATTTGTTCACCATTTTAAACTCTAAAAAAAAGTATTTAAAGAATTTGCACTCATGCTTTTTTCAGTCATACCTTAATTATTGAAAAGTAATAATGAAATTAATACTAAAAATAAAATACTTTACTAATTAATTAATATATTGGCATTTCAAATATTTAATTAATTATAATTTCGGTGATCTCTAAGAGATCTGTATATTGATATTTGTTCACTGTTTTAACTCTAAAAACTGTTTCATATTTAATTTCAAGAATTTGCATGCATTTTAACATCAACCTGTTCACAACCCATTTTACTTAATATAATCATCATTTTGGTGATCTCTAGATGATGTCTGTACATATTCTTATTTGTTCACCATTTTAAACTCTAAAAAAAAAGTATTTAAAGAATTTGCACTCATGCTTTTTTCAGTCATACCTTAATTATTGAAAAGTAATAATGAAATTAATACTAAAAATAAAATACTTTACTAATTAATTAATATATTGGCATTTCAAATATTTAATTAATTATAATTTCGGTGATCTCTAAGAGATCTGTATATTGATATTTGTTCACTGTTTTAACTCTAAAAACTGTTTCATATTTAATTTCAAGAATTTGCATGCATTTTAACATCAACCTGTTCACAACCCATTTTACTTCCAAAATGATGCATTTTTGAGTGAAATAGATATTTATTAGGAAATAAGTGTGCATTAATTTGATTTCATGTTGAATTTAATGCACAAGAATATAACATTAGCATTTATAAGTGCTTCAGAATGTGTACTGAAATGCTAAAAAGAGTTTTCGTTTTAATTTAATGCTTTGCTAAGGTCCTGATAACCACATTGGTAAGAATCACATCTCCACCATTCTGCCTGCAGCATCAGGAATGCCACATTCCCATGATGTCACTTCCTGTCATGTTTTGAAGAGCTATAACATTACAGCGCATTGACACAGGAGCGTGAAAGTGTTCAATTTAAGCTAACGCTGCATAGCGCAGGTTTCCAGTGTCTAAGCCTTGACCTAGATTTTAACAGATGACTAGAGTTTCCATATTCACTGATTATACCTCTAGATGCCCTAATAATGACACAGTGGCAATAAAACATCATATGCATGCATGAGATCGATTTCTAAGAGATTGAATCAGAGCATGCAGCATGTTAACGATTCACCACTTGCATCAAAATAATCAATGAACTAATTTTATGCATGTTTCATTATGTTTATTTACAAGAAGTCCACTTAGTAGTGGCTAATAACACAACTCAAATGTAAATAGTGGATGTTTGCTTTTATATTCCTGCAGGTATACATTCACTGGCATTTACACATTTGAGTCCGTAATAAAGATCTTGGCCAGAGGGTTTTGCGTAGAACCCTTCACCTTCCTCCGAGACCCGTGGAACTGGCTGGATTTCAGTGTCATCGTCATGGCGTGAGTTTGATATTTGGTTTTATATACCCTATAAAGCCTACTGTATCATATTTGATATGTAAATTTCTAAAACCTCGAAATACACAATGTCGTATACAATCTACTACATGCCTTCTGTCTTCTGATTGATTGTTTATGCTGTTTTAGCAAGTAAAAGTCCTTTTAGTATCATTCCAAAAAATGTCCACCTTCAGCTTGTGCTTCACGTGTCTTTATGCTGAGAAATCTTTACAGATTCTTTATAAAGTAAATGTAAGAATAACATTTATATTGCTAGTAACAAACACTTACCGGACTGAAGCAACAAGGTTTATTTTATATATATATATATATATATATATATATATATATATATTTATTTTTTACCGTCTATACGTGACACATTATGGAACATCTTAAGAACCCTATCAATACAATTTAAAAAGCTAAAATGCTCACTAAATCAAATCAGTGTGCTGAATTGCGTACTGAATCAAATGAAACCATTCTGAATTGACAAAACAAATCACTTTTGCACTGAACGGAAAACCAATGAATCGTGAATCACATTGATTTGCTGTCACACCCCTGCATTATAATGTTGAACAAGGTTCAGTGATCGGCGCTGAAAACAAATCAATGAAACTCACCAAGATAACGTTTGTCAGTCAGTATTAGATCAACATTACAGAGGTCAGCGTGGTTCTGCTAAGCTTAGTGGCTTCACTAGAGACGTTTAAAATACAAATGTACACTGTACAAACTGAACAGACATTCAAAGCAGTGTTATTTTAGTATACTACTTAAGTTTTTGTTAATATTTTGAATGAAATTTTATCTTCATATCTTCTGTTTTCATTTTAAGTTTAGTTCAAGTTTGAACAACCCAGTCTCGTCAGCATTCATTGTTTGCACCTGTGTCTCATTAGCATTAGCTCACCCAATAAAAGCCCGGTTCTCTCTGTTATTCTTTGCTAAGTCTTGTATACAAAACACACCACAAATTACTAAAACCTTAACTACAAATGAAAATATATATTTTTTTAATAACAAAATATTGAATTCCTCAATCAAAAAGAATAATAGTGTATCAGTGATACTAAAATAACACTGCCCTGATGATCAAATAAATCACAGCATTTACACTCATCAGAGTGAATGAACCTATTGTCTCTGCATTATACATTGCAAGAAAAAGCATACAAACATCAAAAAATTGCATCGTTGCTTTTAAGAAACCCTAATAAAATAAAATAAAAAAAGAGATATTTTAGGATATGTTGCTAGAAGGTTTACCCAAAATGCACTGTTAATCTAAACCCACTGTGTTAGTCCTCTCATACAGAGCTCAAACCAATCCGCATGTGTCATCTAAAAGGGTCACCAGTCCAGTGCAGTCTAGTAACCACTAACCTCTAAGCTAATAAACCTACAGTGGTTCTCCTATAGGAAAGAGGCAAGAGATTATGATGCACTCTCCTAAACATCTCAAAGTGCACTGATGCATTGAGGATTACTATTGTGTGCAAGACATGACATGAACCATTCCTCAAATCATGTTTCTTGTTGAGGAGAGGTGTGCTGTGTGATCAGACTTATGATTTCTACCTGATGCATGGAAAATAAAAAAAACAGGTGAAAACATACAGACTTACATTAAAGGAGGGGCCCGGGCCATATATAGAGACCTGAATATCATAGAGACTCAAGACTTCTGATCTGAGGGTCGTTGGTAACCAGCCCAACCAATTTCTCAGAAAACAAGACTTCAGTTTGCATCTCAAGTAAATGTATCTTGATTTAAGGATGTTTTGATATTTGTATTGGAACACAAAACAAAACTAGGAAGATATATATATATATATATATATATTTTTTTTTTTTTTTTTTTT